AAAATTTGAGTATTTTTCTATGTTATGTTCATGTTTATGTTCATAAACTTTTTATTTAATAAAATATGTTTTCATAGTTTGTGTTGTCCCTTATTATCAATGCAAAATGGTCACTAACTAAAGAGGATTTATGCTGATATTGCCCAAAAACCCTATTTTGTTCAGGCGTTTCCAAACTTTTGGAGGGCAGTGTACGTGTTTAAATAGTCTAACAACAAGAAGTAAACCAGAAGTGAACGACCATCAGTGTGTCAGTGTCGGCGACCTCTTTTGGCAGATAGCGATACTGTCCTATGTTGTTGTGACAACACCACCGTCCGTCATGATAAAACTCTTCAATATTGACAAATACTAATTCCTATGAGGTGTGTGAGTTTCCAGAAACTTTCACTTGGATATCTGATACTTATGGCAACCCAGTAACTTTAATAGATCATGAATTTATTTATATAAACGTATGCTGAGTGATACTTTATCATTTAATAGTAGCTCAATAGTAGCTTTCCTTAAACTATAATAAACAATCACTCTGCAGTATTGCACTTTTTCTTTCTTTTTTCTTTACACAGTATGGATATGGAGTCCAAGCAATCCAGCTCAACAACAGCTACATTGTCGGGTCCTTGAACTTACAATTGTTTTTTTCAGAGGTGAAGAGGGAGAAAAACACATTATTTTTTAGTGGACAGAAATAGAATCATAGCGCAGCACCTGTAAATGAAGTCATCATCCAAGCTCCCTCTGTACAACTAATGCTGTCTGAATACGGCTACAGTTTATATTATATTATATATTATATTATAATATAATTATAATTAGTATCAAGAGCCAGACATCTAAGTTTCCCTAGAGAGTCTGGTACTGTTCATCATTAAACATGACCAAAAATAATCAACGTTTATACAAAACTAACTTTTAAAGATGTGATATTGTGGTTGTTTACAAATCTATAATGAAATCTTGTTCTGGAAAGGTCTCAGTGCTCGAAAGTTTACTTTCACATCGTACACAGGTGTATGCAAGTGTGTATATGCAGAAGTGAGGATAGCCAATCATATTGCAGCATTCAGGATTCCTAAATCTTTGGACATCTAAGACTACAAATGTTACTAGATGCTACGTGAGATGTGGGCGGAGCCTCTAGGCTGAAGCTAGTAGTGTGTAAGTAAACAGTGTGTTTGTTGTCTAACAGCTAGCACTTTTAATTATGTATACACATGCACGTTCCCTGTATGTGTCTGTGACTGTATGTTGAGGCTCTTCATTTTTGGCGGATTATTCACCATCTTGCCCAAACTCATCAATCCAGAGAGCCACTGCAGCATGAAGGCCAATGGCATGTCAGGGTTCTTACTGTTTTTACCTTTTTTCATGCAAAATTTCCAGACATTTTCAGGAATTTTATTGACATTGATATTATAGATCCTAAAGATGTATCACAAAAATGTAAAGATGTATCACAAAATGAAAAATAGTATGAAATCTAATATCCATTAGGAATATAGTACTGTTCTGACTCTCTTTCCATTAACTTTCTCCTCCCTCCAGTTCCCTCTGAAAGCCCTGTGGATTTTCTGTGCTTTCTTCTGGGGATCCTCCTCCCTCCCCGTTTGTGCCGACACACAGATGATCCAATTAGGAGCAGACAGACAGGGCAGGACGCCGTGCCAGCCCGGTCCCGGCCCTCGACGAGCCTAATGAGGCATTACCCTCCACAGTGACAGCCCAGCCTTGCTCCATGACAGCGGACTGTGTGTGTGTGTGTGTGTGTGTGGTCAAAGAATGGACACTAAGGTTAGGAGTGAGGCAAGCCTGCATCAGCTATCATACGTGTGTGTGTGGGAGAAGAAAGAGGAGAGAGAGAAAGGGACTAGTTAGAAGGATACACACTTAAAAAACTGGTTACCTCTAGAGGTTATTAGAGGTGTAACAATACACGATTCGAGTCGATTCAGAAATACTGGCTTTGCAATTTCGATTTGTTTCTCAGAATATTTTGAACAAAATTTGAATGAGGAAAAATTATAACAGAAAAGTTATTTTTTTAAATTTTTTGATTTCTGAACCATAAACAATTTAAAACACTGCATTTTTGTCTGCATGTGCATTTTGTATAAATCTAAATAAATCATTAAAAACTGCTACAAACAGAGGTTGAATATTATAAACAAAAACTAGAGGTTCACTATATCTTAAAAATAAATAAATGCAGTTATAAGTTCTCCAGCAATTCTTGATTGAATGAACAAAGTGCCTGACTTGGGGACTTGATCGACTGACACATAGCAGAAATAGAGCTCCAAATTGGCTAAAATGCCTCACATAAAAAGCTGTGTCCCAAGCTACATGAGCCACAATAGACATAGGCTTTATGGGTTCTTGCTAACAAGCCGGGTCACTTTTTTCTGTCTTATAACTTCAAGAGAGAGAAAAAAATATATAGGTTGCTGAGGGAACAACTATTTATGACTAATGTAAGTGATAACTGGAAGATTAAATGCAACAAAAAAATGGATAAAAAAAAAGTACGAAGGGTCATTCTGTTGTTGTTGTGCCTTCGGCTGCACCCGTTAGGGGTCGCCACAGCAGATCACTGGCCCGCATATTTGATTTAGCACAATTTTTATGCCGGATGCCCTTCCTGACACAACCCTCCTCAGTTTTATTCGGGCTTGGCACTGGCACTGGGAGTGCACTGTGCATCCTCACTGGCTGGGGTGGGTTCCCTGGCCTGGAATCGAACGCTGTCCACAGCAGCGAGAGTGCAGAGGCCTAACCACTAGTCTTCCAGGAACCCATGAAGTGTCATTCTGTAATTAACAGAAAAATATCATTGTTGGAAAATTGCTTTGGTATGAGAGAAAAAAAAGTCTTTGGGATGTGCTGTTATTGGAATATAATCAACTTTGGGGTGGTAACAAAAACTCAGGTCAGACCGCATCACATTACCTAGAACCTGATTGTTTTCCTATAACAGCACAACCCAAGGAAGGTTCTTGGAATGCATAGGATGAAGGACTTCCTGTGGGAAATGTTCTGCAATTTTTAAACCTTTACATTTATTACCGAAGCACACCCCATGGATTTCTCTCCGTCTCTGTCTACATATATAAATAAACAGATATTAGAGGACAGATGGTGGCACCATTCATTAGTGATAAAACATGCGTCTTGCATCTTTATTTCTTCACGAAAATGAGGATTTAGAGGAAAACTGCGTACTGTATCTCCCGCAGTATGTTTAGTTAGCGGAGGCTTGGCACTAACACTTGCCTGCTCGTCTGGCCTTTTGCTCACTTTCAAAGCTGCGAGTGGGTCTGAGTGGTTAATAATAGAGTGCCCTGCTCGTGAACGCCACAGATCAGTAGCATCACGACGGGGAGTGAGGGAGTGGGACGTGCGAGATGTGCCTTTTTAGCCTCTCTTCTTCTCTCTCCCTCTCTTTCTCTCTCCAAATCGTTGGCCCATCTCTCAGATATGGCACTTCTAATTAGAAAGTGATTGAAGAGCAAATACCTCGGCCACTTTGAATATCCGTTTAAGTCTATTGACAGCACTTGTGACATTTGTGTGAAGTTGATAGGTGCTTCGAACGCCTCAGGGGGACAAGACATGAGCATCGTCGAGAGAGTGCCAGACAGTATCCTGATTGATCCTCGTTATTGATTACTATCTTCTGAAGGCTGCTCAGGTCATGCTTAATTAAGACACTTGAAGAAATGAAAGACTGATAAAAAAAAAGACTGAAAAGGGGTGTCTTGTATACTTCTTTCATTTTTTCCCCTGGGAGGACAAGGCAGCAGGCACGCCGCTCCAATTAGCCGCTTGCCAGCTGCCCACTCTCATAAGAAAGCCTTGCCCACTGCACGTACGTCCTCATTCATGTTCATGCTTCCTGTTAACATCTTTCTTTGCATGGTAATAAAGCAGGTTCATAAGGGATCACAAATGGTGTGAGGATACAGCCGTGGGCAGACAGAGTCAGTCCAATTGATGCCGGATTGACTGAGACGCCAAGCTGTTCTCGGGTCAGCGTCGTCTGTGGCTTCACACCAACCATCCACCCACTCGTCAGATATAAATATTCCTCTGTCAGTCCTATCCTCATCGTCTAAATAAGCTTCCTTTGTCATGTGACCGTGCGTGAGACGGACAGCACAGGAAATTCCGGCACTCATAATAAACTGTCACTTTGAGCCAGGTAAACTCTGACTCACTCGGCTTGACGTGAAACACAAGGAGATGCCTAGCAGTCAGCCCTCATATCCTCCATCCTTTCACTTCTCTTTGGCTCTCTTTCTTTCGCTATCATTCTTCTTATCCCTTCCCTGGCCGGGCTGCAGCCTGTCAGAGTTGAGCACAAAGGGCCGGAGAAGGGTGGAGAAGCTGCCAGCGCTCTTCCTTCCCTCTGCGAAACAAAACCCAACATGTTAATTAAGGGGGTTCACAGTAAGAGCCTGCTGGAATAAATAGCAACGTGCCATAGCATGGGTGGCTGCAAACAACAGCAGGGTTCTTCGGCAGATGAGGTGGAGAGGAAGCAAGGCTGCGGCCAAACCCTTCGCTTCTGTCAGTCTCTGCTCTTAATTGGTGATCTTCCTAATAATTTCACGAGGTGTTGTTTGTAGCTGACATGTGACGAGGCATCCATGGCTTTGGAGGATTCTATAAATTCCTCCGTGCTTTGTTCTAAGGATGGCAGGTCAGAAAACAAAGAGGGTGGGAGTGAGACTTTCTGTCTTTTGCCATGAAAATGTAAATTATTTTTCTGGTTGTTTAAACCACATTTTTAATCAGAGTCTAAGTATTAGGCAAAGGGGTGTAACGCAATGCCATTATCTGTATCTGTATCTGTTTAGGGCTCCAAATAAGCTTATCTGTATCTGGAATCGTATTTATACCTGAAGTAGACATAAACTGTTTTTTTTTATGAATCCTGCAACTATGCCTCTGAAAAACACTGGGAAAAAAAACAGATGTAGAAATGTAAGAACTTTCAGCATGGTGTTTGAATTCTGATTGGACAGTTCCTCAACATCAGCTACATTACTCCTGGTCATAATTTGTCTCAACTACAGATGTGTGCTGGACTGTTTCCTTCTCACACAATTATTACATTTGTACTAGCCTGCAATAATGAATACATTTTGTGGCTTTTGGTAACCTTATTTAAACCATCATGCCCCTGACCAGGCAGTTACTAAGGATGAATGAATAGTCTACAAATCCACTAATTGACATCCTTATTCCATGCTGGGGTCAGAACCCAGGCTGGCAGAAATAAACAAGGCATATCCATAAACACAACTTGGGAAAACAGCCGAGGGTCTAAACCCGGAAGTGCTCAGAACTAGAAAACAACACTAATCACAGAAACCATGGCTTGGACTTAACGATACAAGTGTGCATGGTAAGACTTCGCACCAGGACTAAGACACAACATGATATAAATAAACTAATTATGAAGTAACACAAAACACCTATGCGTATCTGTTGAGAAAGTATTAGCTGTTCATTCTGAGTAATGTATTCGGGTTCGTTTACATCTCTAATTATTGGATTATTTTCCAGTTTTGGATTACTCTTGTGTGTTTTGGCGGTGCTGTTGGGGTTTATTGTGATGTGCTTCAGACAGACGACATCCCATAAAGCTGTCTGGATTTCGTAAAGGTCTGGCTTAGGGTGGCCTGTGCTCACAAGGCATTTTATCTTTATATGTGGTGGTCCACACTTGGCTTGGTGGCTTGGATGGAGGATGGGAATAAATTTACCAAGTGACCTTACAGAGACCTTTTGGGTCAGTGACACACTAAAGATGAACCGTAGATCTGTAGATCGAGACTTCCTGTGGCTCATAAGATATTATTATTGAGAACTGTACTTCATTTTCATTTTCGGCTATTTGTACTTTTTTTTTTTAAAATTAGGACGTGCACTCCGAATCAATAACATTTTCATACAGATCTTCCAGCACTTTCAGATTTTGCCTGGCTACCAATCCAATCCCTCATGTTTTTGTAGCTTTATTAATCAATCGTATTAATACATACAGTCAAATCCATAACAAAAGGACTGTGTATTAGTGTCAATGCTGTTACTTTAATGAAACAATGCAGCAAATGACATGAAAAACATTTACAAGTTTAAATGCGATTAAAAGTGTGGCATGGTTGTTTTGTTTTCACATCCTTAACCATTTTCTTTTCTTAACCATTCTCTCCAAACTTGGTCTTGCCCATTCCCACCCAGTAGCTAAGTCTCCCCTATCACACGGCACTTACCAACCAGGGAGGGCGGGGCAACCACATGCTTCCTCCGAGACATGTAAAGCCAACCACCCACATCTTTTCAAACTGAGACTCACACTGTGTCACATGGCAATGTAATACGCTCGGAGGAAAGTGCTATCTGCCCTCTTCCACATACATGATATCACAGATGCATGCAATTGGCTAGTTTCGCTTGCTGTGATTGACATGAGAGAGAGTATAGCATCCTCCTCACCCAGAGAACACTAGTTTGCTCCCTTGTCTCCCGGCCACGGATGACTGGGGCATCTTTGGGACTCAAATTTGTGATCTCCCGATGTATATATCATAAATATCTCGTTTATATTATATAAGGCAGTGTGCGCTCCCGCATGACCTTAGCCTTTTTTGTGTTATGTGAATTGTGAAATTCCAAAGTGTGAGAACAGACTGAAAAACTCAGGCATAATATAGAAAAATATAACACTTTATACCACAAAACTTATGGAAGGAGTCTCCAGTGTCAGCACTTTGTAACATTCTGGAGGTAAAGCTTTCTGAAGCAGGAACGTCTTCAAGGGCTCATGTCAACGGCAGAATCGGCGTCAAAGCACAGTTCCCAGAGAACAAGGCGGCCTACAAACATGGCTGCCAAGGACTCCAATTCCCAACACACGTTCAAACTCACCTGATTACTGATTACAAGTACCTAGACTCAATCTCACAGCGAAAGTACGAATATAAGGCCTCTCTTTCACTCCACTCATTGTGAAGTATATGCTCTGTGTTTTCACACCAGTCGATACCAAGCCGTTTGTTTTGTGATTGTCTCGCTGGTTTCTTGATCTAGTTTCTGGTTCTCTCGATTTACTCTTGCCTGCCCTAGTTCTCGTTGCTCGTTGATCACCTGACCCTTTCCTGGACTTTGACACTGTTTCTGCAATATGTATTCGACTTGTTTGCAACTCTCTATAAATCTCGCTCTACCTCCACCTGCGTCCGTATCTGCCGCCGTGACATCAGGAGGGAAGAGTTCACTCTTTGCCGCTTCTCTGTAACATGACAGGCTGCGTTTCTGGTATTATAAACTTTAAGAGCGAGAAAAAAGGAGAGGCTGGTTTATAGCTGCTATAACATAAGTGATAACAGGAACTAACTTGTTTCAAGGACGTTCCACAACATTAAATGGATAAAAAGTTCTTCATCAAATAAAAATCGTAAATTCCGTTTATATAAGAGGAATAAAACAGGACAGCGTTTGTTGTTATAGGAAAGGAATAAACAGCGGTGCCGCTTCCACTTTTAATTGAGTAACAGTTTGACACAGGACCATATGTTTATTAAAATATATTACTTTTCTGTACTTACTCCGGTCGTGCATCTAACACTCACGCGACTTCATTTCTTTCATTTCTTTCCACCTGGATGTGAGGACAAACCGACTTTTGTTCCACTGGTGTTCATCACATTTCTATC